CTTTGGCCACCTGTAGCTGGGATCCGAGAAGAGTAACCTCCTACTGTTGTAGGCAAAATCTGATCAGATTTTTCAGTTTCCTTGAATTGAGCTGGCTATAAAAGCTTATGATATTTGTTTTATAAAATTCATGTCCTCTAGGTATACCTAATAAAAGTTAAACTCAGGTACTCAATACTTTCTTAAGACTTGACTGAAAGAAGAATATTTTGGTGGAAAGGCATCCAGAATATTGCTTTATTCACTTAAAAACCATCTTGGACCGGAGTAGTGGTACACACCTGTAATCTCTGAACTCAAGAGGTAGTGACAGGAAGATCAGAAGTTCAAGGCCGGTCACAGCTAAATGAGATCTTCTCTAAATAGTAAAATAATTAGATTAAACCTGGGCAGCAACATTCTGCATATCACAATTTTCACATTTTGCTACCTATACATACTCACTTTCATAATATATTGTCTATTGGCTAATATTGACAGGCATATAGAAAAACATTCATATAAGCTACTGTGACAAAATCCATTTTAGGAGTTGGATGTGATAGTACATACCTTTAATTCCAGCATTCGAGAGGTAGAGGCAGGAGGATATCTGTGCATTTGAGGCCAGTCTTGTCTACACAGCGAGTTCCAGGCCAGCCAGTGCTACATAGTGAGACCCTGTACAAAAAAAAAAAAAAAAAAAAAAAGAAAGTATACAAAATCAACTTAAGGGAAGAAGGGCTTATTTTGATTCATAGTTTAAGAAGATGTAGTCCATCATGGCAGAGAAGATCTGGAATTTGGCGTGGGAGGCAGCTGGTCACACTGCATCTGCAATCAGGGAGCAGAGAGAAATGAACATTGGTACTCAGCTGGCTTCTCCCTTTTTTTGCTTTTTACTGAGTCTGAGACCCCAGCCTAAGGGATGCTGGTGCCATATTCAGGGCATGTCCTTCTTCAGATAAACCTCACTGGAAACACCTTCACAGACATACCCAGTGGTATGTGTACTAGGTGATTCTAAATCCAGTTGATAATAAGAAGTTATCACAGTCTCCCCGTGAAGTCTTCCCATACCCCACACAGAGCCACAAAGATGCTGCTGTTCATTGTGTCCCAAAGCATTTCCTTTGAGGACAACCCACAGGGACATTGTTCTGCTCACAGTACAGTGAAGGTTTGGTTTCTCTGAGCACTGGTCTGCTTTTATTTAATGGACACATATGTATCCCAGATATTACCTATTAGTAAGTAAAACTGTGATCACAATTTTTTTAAGACCCTAAACTATGATGTCCCAAACCTGGTATAATCAGGAGCTTTCCTTCATGAACATTTCTGGAATTATACAAAGATACCAGCATGAGTGAAATAGGCACCTCCTTTAGCAAACTGTGTCCTGGTGAACGTTCAACAATCATGACTCTGAAATCAGACAGGAAAAATCTACGGCTGGTGAGATTATCAGGTGATTTTCACATTTTTTACAGTTTTCCAACATAAAGGGACTGTGAAATAGTGTTCCTATGGCTTTAAAAAATATGCTTGGTAAATTTAGCTGAACCTTGAACATGTATGCCTGGAGAGGCTTGTCTCATGAGAAAGTTTATGCAACAACGCTTGCTGGGGAGTTATCTCCAGAATGCCAGTACTTCCCTAGTTTCTCAGGAGAGACCTTCATCTCTCAAGGCATATTATGGTGGTACTGTTATCCTGGTCATTATATTTTACTAAATTGCTATAGTCTAGCCACTTTATTATTATTCACTGTTCTGTAAACATTCAACTGTAGCACTACTGAGTATTAAAACAGAGTTGCCTGTGCTTTGGGCGCTCGTGTGTGGATGAAGAACTAAGAGTAAAGACATAAAACTGCATGAGTCCCTGGTCTTTTCTCAGTTTGATGTAATCCATTCAGGACCTGTGGCTGCCCCCCCGGCAGCCACACCACATTTCCTTCAATAAGCACACAGCAGAGTGTCTACTTTGGGGAAAAATCTGATCTGAATTGATGGGAGATTAATTTTAGTTATTTTTTTATTTTATTTATTATTTTTATTTTATGTGTACAAGTGTATTGCCTGCATGTATGTGAGTGCACCTGTGTCGTGCAATGCTGTACAG